TACTGTGTCTCTCTCTCTCCTCACTAGAAGATAAATGCCTTGAGAGGAAGTACTCGGTCTGTTTTTATTCACAGCTATAACCCTGGCACATCTAACAGTGCCTAGCATAGTAAGCATTCAAAAATGTTTGCTGAATGAATAAATTAGTCTTCATAACATTTACTCTTTAAAACAACTCTAAGAGTTATGATCTCCGTTTTACAGAGGAGAAAACTGAGGCAGAGAGGCACATACAGCCAGAAAGTGGCGGAGCTGTGATTTAAGCACTGACCCTTCCCCACTATGCTCTGATGCCTCATCAGATGCCATGATGGTTAATTTCATGTGTCAACTTGACTAAACCGTGGGGTTATTTGGTCAAATATTATTTGGTGTGTCTGTTAGCGTGTTTCTGGATGAGATGAATATTTGAATCTGTAGACTGAGTAAAGCAGATTGCCCTCCCCAGTGTGGGTGGGCCTCATCCAATCCATCAATGGCCTGCACAGAACAAAAAGGCTGAGTAAGAGAGGATTTACTCTGTGTGATGCCTTCCGACTTGAAGTTGGACTGAAACCTGTACCATTCGCTCTCCTGTTCTTAGGCCTTTGAACTCACACTGTAACTGTACCATTATCTCTCCTGGGTCTCCAGCCTGCTGACTGCAGATCTTGGGACTTCCCAACCTCAATAACTGTGTGAGCCAACTCCTTATGGTAAATCACTTTGAACACACACACACCCCTCCTATTGGTTCTGTTTCTCTGGAGAACCCTGACTAATACAGATGCCCAGAGAGGCTAAATGATTTCTCTGTACCACTCAACTAGCAATTACTGGAGCTGGGATTCAAACACAAGTTTGCTGACTGCCAGTCTGGTCATTTTTGTTGCTTTATAGCACAACACTCTCCCTGGTTTCTTAACCATACTCCCAAACTTGCTAATTCTATCATTGAGCTTGCTTTCAAATGTTCAACTCCAAAAGAAGTTAATTACCAAATTAGACTGAGAAGGGGAGTCTGAGGATCTTGGTTCGTCCTTTCACTTTTTAGCCCAGTGAGTTCCATCTGTTAGATCATTTAAATAAACATGTCTAAGAGGTAGGGGTTGCCACTGAACCACATGTTCAATTTTTCATCTACATTTTGTTAAAGCAACATGAATGCCACTGATTCTAAAAAATACAAATGAGCAGATGATAAATTGCTAAAGTTCTCTGTGTTGCAGGGGAGGCATTAACATTTAGAGATCTTATTTAGAAAATGGTTTGCCAAAATTATGGCAATAGAGATAAAGTGACAGTAAAGGGCACAGGCTCTGGAGCCAACCTGGACTCGATCCCACTCTACTACTTACTGTGCAACCTGGAGCAAGCCCCTCCGAGCCCGGCTTTCCTCATCGGTCGAATGATGATAATGAGAGTAACTGCCTCGTACAGGTGTTGTGAGGATTACACGAGATAATGCAAGTAATGTGCTTAGTACAATATCTAGCACATACATAATAAGCATGCAATAAATGTTAGCTACTCTGGCAGGCATGGCTAGCTACCTGCAAATAACTCACCCTTTCTTTCAAATTAATGAAATCCCCATTTTTTAGCTGGTTAGCAATGACCTGCCTAGTTAAAAGACTGTAATTCCCAGACCTCCTTGTAGCCTACTGGGACCATGTTCTAAGTTCTGGCCAATGAAATGTATGTGAAAGTGTTGTGTGGGGACTTTTAGGAAGTTTCTTTAAAAGATAAAGGGTCTGCCCTCCTTTCCTTTCTCCATTCTGTTGCCAGGAATGCAAATGTAATGGCTGGAGCTCTAGCAACTACTTTGAACTCTAAGGACAAAGGTTGTAATCTTTGAATAGTGGATGAGAAGGAACTTGAGTCTTGAATGACTTTATGTAACCTCCGTACCAACCCTGGGCTGCCAATCTTTGGACTTCTTTTATGTGAGAGAGAATATAAATATCTACTTTGTTTATGCCATTATTTTGAGTACTTCTGTTACTCAAGGCCAAACTAATCTTAACTGCTCTAGCTGTCATTTGTGGTGGTCTAAGAATCCAAATGGAGGCTCAAAACCATTTTGAGGCCTTGTTTCTGCAAATAAAGGCAAGATTGGGCAAAAATATAGAAAAGGAGCTGCATGCTTTCAAAGTCTTTCCTCCCCTTTCAGAAGCCATTCTGACACCACCATCCTTTCTCTTGCTCAGAAGTCCAGGGTTTCATGCCTTATCCACAAAACCTGTACTCTGTCGTATACATCTATCATATCATCATATGATGTCATATCTACATCATCCACACAGACTAGGCTGATGAAACCTAGTTCACTCTAAGGTATAAGTGACCATAGGCATCCCTCGTGGGCATATGTATTTTATTTGAGACAAAGCCTTCTGAGAGAATGTTTGGAATAATCAAGAGTCGTTATAGGAGTAATATTTTGGGATAAGGAAGTCCACACATAAAGCTATCACCCACCATTAAAGTTGACTGTAATTTAAAATAAAATACCCCACGGTATACGCCAGTTAATATACTTCTCAGCTGTTCACCTTCAACTTCCAAGGAGTTTCAAGGATTGAGAGCAAGTGAGTAGTGAATATTTGTCGGAAAAGATAATTAAATAACATCCTCAATTCCCCGAGGCAACATATTTTATACCTGTTAGTTTAGCGATCATTATTACATCATTGGCTGTATAAAATTCTATGCACAATGCAACTGGAAGTTATTTATTTATGACCAAAACACCAATCAGTGGTTGAATAAGGAAGCTAAACCACACTCCTTCAACTCTTGGTCCACCGTTCAAATATGCCTCACTTTTACTCTTTCCTAATGTAAACTGAATATGTATAATGGATAGATTTTATCTGAACAAGACAGAATTAGTGTATTTAAATATAAAGTACAAGAGAGGCCAGACAGCACCTCCTTTTGGGGAAGGGGGGCAGAGAGAGAGAGAGAGAGAGAGAGAGAGAGAGAGAGAGAGAGAGGGAGAGAGAGAGAATTTGTGTGCGTGTATGTGTGAAATTCTCTCCCCATGGAACATGACCTTTGACATTGGTTGAGCATGCTCTCTGGTTAAAGTAGCTCAAAGCGATCTACAGATGATATAATTAAAACCTCATTGCCTGTCTCCTCTATCCCTAATTCCTCGACTGATTCTGAGAGGTTATATGACTCTGACAGGGTCACTCAAACTCTGGTGCGCTTTTGTAGAACTTGGTTCCTTCAGGCTTTCAGAAAGGCTGATATAGATAACATTTTTGAGGCGGTATCAGCTTACTTGGTTGAACTCCATAGAGTCAGCTAAATGTCTAAGTTCAACTGATAGGCTGGATCTAGGAGAAATTTCATCATATGTATTAATATCATACACATCCCTCACTGAGATACAATTTCATGACATTCTATTGACTTTCTAGTATTTAGTGATCAAGTTTATCTTTTCCACTGTTGCTTTGACGAGTACTACTAGTTTCAGACCATAATCAACAGGGTCTTGTCCACGATGCTGTGACAACCAGAAGATCTATTTTTTAAAGTATTAGGGACTGATTTATATTCCTAGGTAAAACAATGCCCAAGCAAAGGGAAGTACAAGGAAAGTACCACAAAGTCCCCATCTTAAAATAGTTCAATGAAAGATAACATAGAATTTCTGCTTGTTCTCCTTTGGAAGTCTCAGAGGCAAAAGGCTCATTTAACTTTTAAATGACAGGGCTTCTAGAAATAATTGATACCTTAAGTTATCAGAAATTAACAAATCACATAAAATGTGGGCTAGTAAGGGCCTTTACCACCTAAAACTCAACTTCATTAGGTATCTCATATGTGGATATAACCTTATAAGGCTCTTGCAGGTTGCATGGGGAGTTAAATGTTTCTGAAGGAGGCATTAACACAGAGAAACCATCAATTCAATTCATATGTACAGATGTTGTAAATGTGCTCGGTAAAAATACAGATTTATCACACATATACAAAACAATAGAAAGTTCATTTTATAAAGATATCTTTCATTTCATAAACATTTAATTTATAGGTTTCTTTAATCAGCAAGTATCAATGGAGCATTAAAAATTTAATTCACAAAATTGTATATTAAACACATGGCTTTTTAGGAACAAATGGAATTAGTAAACCAAGAAACATATTTCACTAATACATTTCAGGTTTAGTTTGCCTGTAAAGAAAAAGTCAAATAATCTTGTACAATGAAAATGCAAATATCTATCATTAGTAGAAATTAATATTACTCAGTTCTCATTATGTTATTTTATTCTCTTTTAAAATAAAAACTCCTCAAACACCCTCAAAAGAAATTTATATTTAATAATATGATCATTACACATAAAAAAATATTTACACGGGCATATTACTAATTCCAACTTATAACATTATTTGTTTTAGTTTTTTTTAAATAAAGTATTAACAGTTTTACATTATTTAATTTCTTATGATTGCATGCAGTACCCTAAATAAAATGTAAGTTAAAAAAAAAAAGCAATTTATTGCAAGGAAGGAAACACAGATACCCTCAAAGTAATTTTAATATGTCATTAACCAAACAATTAATTGAACTAAAATGGGGGGGAAAAATTAAAGTACCAGAATAAAGCAATTCTAAATTGCTCAAATTCCAGAATGGAAATGATTTTAAATAAAATATTCTGGAATAGAATATATGTACAGATCACATATAATCCAAACAGTTAAAAACATGTCTTACTGAGATATCTATACTTTAGTTTCTTAAAGTGAGCCAATTGCATATATATGTGTGTGTGCATATATACACACACACATATAATTTATTTGAATATAGTCTCTCTAAATTGGGTGGGAATTCATAGAAATATAGCAGCATACATCTATCCACTTGGTCCCATATTTCAACCAGATGAATATCCATTGACACTCTGGCTTGGAATGAGTTCTAAAATGAGCAGTGTTTCTACAAACTAGGTTCTAAACCAAGAATTCTTACAAAAGAATAAAGATTATGTGCTTACCGTATAAAGCTCATTAAGAACCTTCATTAAATCCTCATGAAGTTGGAATGCAATCTCTTTGCTCTGTAATTAAGAAAAAATTAAAGAAGAATATTTAAAAGCATTAATAGAAACTTGTTTCTAAATTATTTGCACTGACTGAAAATAGAAAAATGTACATAACACAATAGAAAGCCAACAGGGCCCTGATGTAATAAACACCTTTAGCTGAATGGCCCTTTCTAAACCCTGGACAGTACGGATGGTCCCCATGGGCTGGAAAGAAGAACACAAGTGGACAGCCTTGGGGGAAGAGCTCCCCCACCATCTAAATCAGACTTTACCAAAACAAGAGAGAAAGTAAGCAGGGTGAAGCATCGTGCTTGCTTACAAGTTGATGAATTCGAGCATCCAGTCTCCTACCTTGTTTTTGTCACAAAAGAATTTTGTAGTGCGATTCCCAAAAAGCTAACTTAGAAGCCATAGGGTAAAATAACTCTCCCTGTTCAAAATAATGATGTAATTGACTACGATTTTAATTTTAAGAAAGCACTTTCAAAGCAGTAAGATGGTAAGTCCACTTAAGGTCCACATAACTTTGCATTTATTTATTTTTTTATTAAGACAAAAGAGCAGAGAGTTTCATTCTTCCACCCAGTTGGTAAAAGACAGCATTAAAAATACTCTTCCTCAGGCTAATTCTGAGAGTTTAATAGAGGAGTATTTGAATATCGTTTTCAGCAAAATCCGTAAGCTATTTTAAAGAAAATCATATATCTAAATGACTTACTACTTTATTTTTTGAGCTCATTATGTAATCAGCTACAGAGAATGAAAAAAAATGTGTAGCATGGCTTAACTGACAATCCGAACAATTTAACCACATACACTGGTTCCTGTACGTGTCTCCCACTGGACTGTCAGATGGAGGGTAAGGGCCTTATCTTTACCAGCTCTACAATCCCTCAGTGTCCAAGGGGGCACCTAGGATGCAGAATTCAGGGAGGCTCTCAATCTCACCCTAGTCTTGGCCCAAGTGCATGTATAAACATGATGCCATTAGGTCAGGCCTCAAACAAAGACCAAATATGACGAAGACTCATGGAAGAGAAAATAGTTTAAGAAGATGAAATTAGAGTAGTACCTGAACTCTGAGAAATTCAAATTCATTATCAGCATTTGTCTCCGGATTTTCTTGGAGTATTGAAGAGAGTGCTACTGTTTATCAAGCTCTAACAGCTTCTAAAATTCCAAATTGGAGTTAGGGATTTTATGTCTTGCTGTGTCCCCGATATGTGGGTTAAGAACCACTCAAGAGTGAAAGGAAAGTCACAAGTGAGTAAATGAAGCCAACTGAAACTCATTTTATTTTCCCCAAGTCTTGGTTATTGTGAATGTATACATTACACTACAAATCTCCTATGACTTCAGCGTGGTGTTATTTTAATATCAGCTTTCATTCAAGGATCGAGCCATCAATTTAGAACTTTCTAATGGGATCAAAGGCCACCAAGTAACTCTGCTCAGCTACCCACAGTTCAGGTAGCAAGTCCAAAAAGAAAATATTTCTTGGCTAAGACTTCAGAACAATAACAAAATCAAATCCCTCAGGTTCAATTAGCCTCAACCCAAGAAAATATTCCAGGGTCAGATTGAAGATTTTGGTTTGGTATTATAAGGATCCTCCAAGCTACCCTAGGCCAAATATCTCAGAATAAGTAAGACAATTCTTTGTATGTTCCATATTTTATACGACTTCAGGTAATGAGGTAAAAGAAATCTGGCATCACAGACAGACTGTGCTCTGCCAAGCATACATTTAGATTTTTCTTTCACCTTTCCCCAGAGGCCCTGAAATACAAAAGGTTTGCATGGGAGGTGGTATAATATTATGCTTAAAAGCAAGGGCTATGGAGTCAGAATGCCTGGTCTGAAGGCTCAAAGACTTTGGATCACCCTGTGCCTCAGTTTCTGATCTGTAAAATAAATACAGTTACTGTGCCTACCTCACAGGCTTGTTATGAATGTTAATGAGATGATACATACATAGCAATTAGAATGGTGCCTAACACACAATGAATACTCCATAATTGTCATAATTATTTAATTCTTTCCCAGACACTGTGTGCAATGGCAATTCCCTTGAGAGAAAAGGCCATGTCACATTTTCCTTTCTTTTGGTCTCTTACGGCATTTATTCCATTGACTTCCATGCAGGAGGGGCCTGGTTGACTTATGTCCCTCCCCACTGCCCTGGCCTTTAGGTTCCTTCAGGTGACCTCTGACTCTGAAGAACCCCTAGTAATTATGCTCCAGCCCTTGGGCTTTTCTTACATCCATACTCCCTTGTTGTGCGCGTATAATAACTTACCTTCCCATGTTCCATTTTCTTAGGGGTCATACTACTAGTGGTATCAAAGGGATTAATGAAACATCCATTAGGAAATGAAGAATTCCTTAAGTCAACAAAATAAGATACATACAGCTGATGAAAGAGGCCCATGAGGAGCCGAGCTCCAGTGGGGATTTTAGATTTTGTGAAAAATTGGTGTGGAATTCCTTTCAGTAGGTAGACCCTTGGCTACCCTCATGACACAGCACCAACATTTCTGCTTATTTGTTCACTTTGAATTAGTCCAAACCCTCCATGGTCTAGTAAATAACCTAGAAATTAACCATTTTCTTCCTACCACTACTCCTGTAGTCTGCAAAGGACTAACCTTCGCAACCTGCGAAGGTTGAGAAAGAACTGGACTGTGCTCTGAAAAGCACTAGTTCCTGTGACTAACGTGTGAAATGTGAATTCACACATCCGTGTATTTACAGATACTTGGGCAGGACACAACATCAGGTCCTAGTCTGCATGCTGGACACGTGGACCCTGTCCTCATGGCACGGGAACAGTGAAAGGATCACCTCACGTCACCCTCACCCCCACTTTAAATTCGTCTCCAGTTTATTAATCATTTCTTCTAAAGACTACTCTGGACCCCCAAAGAAACAACCTCTAAACCAAAGCACACCTGCTGTGTGGCACAGTTAGCATATAGCACACTAGATTGATGAACTGAATTCTTGCAATTCGAAAGTATCTAGATTGTCAAAAGTCCATCAAAATTCAGTAGGCTAAATATGCCTCTGGATTCTATTTCATTAAAAATTTGAAAATAGAGCAAACCTTGACCTTTGAATAAGAATTACTACGTAAGAAAAATGATACCAATATTAAGGAAAGCAATCAATGTTCCTTCTGTACAAGGAAAAAAAAACTTTGTGAAATGATATATGTTTGAAATAAAGTATTTTCTGTGTTATTTGAGATTAGCTGATTAAGATTACTTTTATACAGGGAAGGAAAGGAGAATCCTCTCAATTGCTTCAGGTATGTAGCTAAAAAAAAGAAGAGGTTCCTCCCTCATTAATATGAGCCGATGTAAGTTCAAATGACGGTAAAACTCCAATATATTTCATTAGAATTCTGAAATTTTCACCCAAGGGGAAGGAAAATGGTTAGAACTTCAATTCAGTTAACATTTATTGAAATGTCTCCCGCGTATAAACCCAGAGTTGAATTCCAAGCCTATTTCCAATTGTTTACTATTTGTCACGTTGACGTTTCAGATACCTAAAACATAAGTCCAAAATTAACAGTCCCTAAGTTTTTATCTTTTTTCATTATGAAAACGAATTAAGTATATTGCAGAATATTGAAAAATAGAGAATAGGACAAAAATCACCACCATTACGATCTGATATTTTTCCTTCAAGTTTATTTAAATGTAGGCCTGAGTTGTAATCATTCTATTTTAATAATAAAGTACATTTTGCTAGTCTTTTTTTAGTTACCATAAATTTTCTATGTACTTATATAATTTTCAGAACCACCACAATTGAATTAATAATAACTACCAGTAAATGTACATTAACTATTCTTCTATTACAATTTCCAATGTTTCTACTATTTTCTACCAGTCAATCATTTATTTATTTATTCATTCAATTTCACCAGTATGTTTTAAGCATTCTAAAATCGAACTGCTGTATTCAAACTACCTTGTCACAGTTCTGTGTACAAGTCAAAGAATTTTGTGAGGCCTCAGTTCTCTTGTTGGCAAAAAGTAGATGCTAATAATCTATGTCAAAAGGTTTTATTGGGATGGTCCTTATGAAACACTTAACACAAAACATGATCATTATACATATCACATTTCTTTCTCTCCCCATAAACAGAGTTTCTTTGAGAGCAGGGACCGCATCCCAATAATCACCTTTGTATTCCCAGGGCCTGCCTCGGTGTTTGGCACACTATAGGTGCTAGATACACGTCTGGCGAATGAATGTGGCCCAGAGCTGAGTAAGGCCTGGTTTCTGCCCTCCAGAGTTCACAGTCTCACAGAGGAACCAGACATGCCAAAACAACTTTCTATAGGGAGTGCTGTGGCAAGTGCTACACTGGGTGGGCCCTGGCCAGGATCTTTGTTCCCAGAGGCCTGCAGGCTTGCTCCCTGGAACCTCCCAGAAAAGAGAGAGAGAAAGAACAAAGAGCATAATTAATACAACCGCATATAAATATATTGAGCAATTGATCAAGTGATCTTTGGTGTGTTTGGATTAAATGACCAATTCAGAGGGCCTCTGGCCTCTCACAGAGGTATTTTTAAAGTAAATCTATTGTGATGACCAGTCAAGGAATCCTGGCCTTATGCTGAGTCAGAGTGGGAGTAGGAGAGAAAGAGGAAAAACAGATTAAATATTTAACGAGAGGGTTTCAAATGATTTTAGTGTCTCACGCTCAGTCGGTTTTGGATATAAATTCTGGTTAAAGGGGTCAGGCCATACTTCCAAAGTGTATGTGCTTTTAAGTTTCCAAAGCTCATGTTCATATGTCTTTATAATAACACATTCCCTTAATTCACATACACTCTGAAGACAGAAGCAACTAACTACCTCTTCTAAAATGTCTAATGGAAAAAGTTGAGCTGGGCTTAAAGGCCCAAACCAAGTCTCTGGATTATATTTAGTGTTTCCACACATTCCCCTTCTGTCAAGGGACGTGGTTTTGTACTTATTGATATCACAACTAA